TTTTTTTTTTTTTTTTGCAGGTTTTGGCCAGGGCTGGGTTTGAACCCGCCACCTCTGGTATATGGGGCTGGCACACTACTCCTTTGAGTCACAGGCGCCGCCCAGCTAAAAGAATTTTTTAAAGCCCCCTCTGTGACTTTTTATATTTTATTTTTTAGAGGCAGAGTCCAAGTCTATTCCCCAGGCTAGAGTGCAGTGGTGTCAGACTGGCAACCTCAAACTCCTGGGCTCAAGTGATCCTCCTGCTTTTGTCCCCCACAAAGAGCTAGGACTACTGGCATGCACCAACACACACAGCTGACTTTTAGAGGAGAGCCCCCACGGAACTGACATACACTTCCTGAGATGCCTCCTACACACTGGAGAATTAGGCTGCCTGCAAAGCTCAGTCTGCAATGGAGGTGGGTGGGCAGTTGACAAAGACTTGACTATGTTTTATGAGAAACGCTGCACCCCACCAGCCCTCCAGTGGATGTGGGTGTCACCCCTGACGGGCAGCATTGGAACATGACCACGGGAAACAAGTGGACAGCACAGGAATGGTCTGCCCGGATTATAGAAAGGGATACCCAAGGGACTAGAGTCAGCCAGTCCAGGCCCGGAACAGGGTTGTGGCTCCCCAGACACATGTGCTGGCTTAGCCTGATGCAGATGTCCCCTCTTCCAGCTGACCGCCACTGTGGCTCTCTGCTCCCACCAGGCACTTCCCTGACTGCAACAACTTCTCCTAAGGAGCCCACATAGGGGCAAGCAGCAGGCTGGCCTCCGGATCATCTCCCAGGCATTATTATCTTGATTGGGCTACAGCTCCCGTGGGTTGGCCCCACGTTTGGGCCTCTAGGATAAGGGCAAGCCTGCCTTAGGCAGAGCCAGCCCCTGGATGGTGGAGATCCAGCCAAGCCCAAGCCTCCTTGGAAGCCCAAAGGGCTGTCCCTTCCTTTGCAGACACCTCTTCCTGGAAGGAGCGTCATCAGACTGGCACAGTGAGTGCCAGACTGGCACATCCAGGGAGAAGGACACACAGTCCACTGTGCTAGACGTTATCTTCAGATGCAGCTGTATGGCATCTAACTGGACAACCAACTTTGTGTGTGTGTGTGTTTTTTTTTTTTGTAGAGACAAAGTCTCACTCTATCGCTCTTGGTAGGTCCTGTGGTGTCACAGCTCACAGCAACCTCCAACTCCTGGGCCTAGGAGATTCTCCTGCCTCAGCCTCCTGAGTAGCTGGGACCACAGGCACCCACCACAACGCCTGGCTATTTTTGTTGTTGTTGTTGCAGTTTGACTGGGGCTGGGTTTGAACCTGCCACCCTTGGTATATGGGGCCAGTGCCCTACCCCCTGAGCCACAGGTGCTGCCCCCCAATTTTGTCCAACTTGTGTTTGTTACTTCATTTTATCCAAAGGAGGCAGGCAGAGTGAGGATCAAAATAGACAGTCAGGATGGAGTCCAGCTGGGCAGAGACTCTGGGCTTGATAAGTCAGCTCTTTAGCTCCTGGATGGTGGGGAGGTGGGCAAACCCCGGAGAAGGGGCCAGGGAGCTGAACTGGGGCTTCTTAAGGGCTGGGGCAGTAATATGAAAACGCTTCCTTTCTTTTGTTTCTTTTTTTTTTTTGCAGTTTTTGACCAGGGCCAGGTTCTAACTCACCACCTCCAGTATATGGGGCCGGCGCCTCACTCCTTTGAGCCACAGGTGGCGCCCCCAATATGAAAACGCTTCCATCTGGTAACTACTGTGTCCTGGGCATCCTGACCCATGTGGCCTCTGGCAGCACACCTACAAGGGGCAAAGAGGGAGTCCTCCTCTGGCCAGAGTGACATAGGGGTGACTTGGGGTCACGGCATCATGAGGACCTGCTCCTCTTGCTTCCCGCACATCATGTTTGCAGGAAGCTGAGGCCCACCTCGGGCTCCCTTAGCTCTGGCTCGGCTTCACCCTCAGCCTTTGCTAGTTTTTTTTTTTTTTTTTCTTTTTCTTTTTTATAAACAGAACCATAGCTTATAAATTCTGGTATTAGTTTTTTTATGTTTGAAAAGTCAACCCCTCTAGGAAGAATGCCAACAGAAGGAGGGCAAAAAGGATTAGAGTTATGTTTTCCACGGTCTGGTGGGTTGGTTCAATAACCGGTTTGTACAACGGGTTTGAGACGCCACCTTTCGCAGATAGGACAGGGCCAGTTCCTGAGTCTGGGTACTGTGCATCTGTCTGTTCACCTACTCCTGCTCCATCCAGTTATTTTATGCTGGAATAAGTGGAGACCACCAGCAGACATCTTCATCACCATCTTTTTTTTTTTTTTTTTTTTCTTTGAGACAGAGCCTCAAGCTGTCCCCCTGGGTAGAGTGCCGTGGCATTACAGCTCACAGCAACCTCCAACTCCTGGGCTCAAGCGAGTCTCCTGTCTCCGCCTCCCAAGTAGCTGGGACCACAGGCGCCCGCCACAACGCCCGGCTATTTTTTGGTTGCAGCCATCATTGTTGTTTGGTGGGTCCGGGCTGGGGATTCGAACCCGCCACCTTAGGTGTACGTGGCTGGCGCCCCAGCCGGTTGAGCTATAGGCGCCGAGCCTTCATCACCATCTTGAGCCAAGGGACAGGGCCTGGGTCATGAGCCAGAGCAAGAGCTAGCCAAGGTGGGCTGCCCCACAGCATGGACTCCGCCTTTCCCTCCTCCAAGCAGCAGTTCCCAGCGATAGTAAATCTCACAGCCCAGTAAAGAGAAAACCTGCTGTCTAACAAAATAAAAGATGAATGGTGTCCTATGTGTTGGAACTGGCTGTTCTAAGAGTCACTTCCCCTCTGAGGGAGGAGGGCATGGCCCTCACATCCTCTCACTTCCCCGGCCAGAAGTATGTGGCCCTGCAGACAGCTATTCTTTTAGTGTTGTAACTTTTTATTTTGATGTCACTTTGAGGAAAAGTCACAAGAATGGTATAAGGAATACTCATATACCCTTTACCCAGATTTTCTGTTTAGGTTTTTGCCATTTTTTTTATCATTCTCTCTCCAATTTCTCCATGTATACACACGCACACACACACACACGCACACATGCATACACATACACACGCAAGCACACAAATTCAGGCATGTGTGAGTATATATCACATACATTTATATGCATGGATATGGGTTCTTTACCCAAATCATTTATGAGTAAGTTCAAGGCCTACAATGCTTTACTCCTAAATATTTTCTTTGTTTGAGACAGAGTCTTGCTTTGTTACCCTGGGTACAGTGCCACGGCATCATAGCTCACAGTAACCTCAAACTCCTGGGCTCAAGCAGTCCTGCCTCAGCCTCCTGAGTAGCTGGGACTGTAGGCATTCACAACACCCAACCATATTTAGTAGAAACAGAGTCTTGCTCTTGCTCTGGCTGGTCTCAGGTCTCAAACTCCTGAGCTCAAGCAATCTACCCGGCTTGGCTTCCTAGAGAGCTAAGATTTCAGGCATGTGCTGCCATCACCTGGCTAAGGAACAAATTTTAAAAGAAAGAGGAGCTAAGGAAATGTAAAAAGATTTTACATTTCCTTTTGGTCTGCTGAGTATCTTAATGGACAGAGATCCACATGGGTTGGGTATAGGGGTCTAGCAAAAGAAAGCAGGCAGAGAGATTTTATGCCTTGTTGAAAAACTATAAGTTAATAATTTTTTTTTTTTGAGATAGAGTCTCATTTGTCACTCTTGGTAGAGTGCTGTGGCATCTTAGCTCACAGCAACCTCAAACTCTTGGGTTCAGGTGATCCTCTTGCCTTAGCCTCCCAAGTAGCTGGGACTACAGGCACCCCCCACAACACCCGGCTTTTTTTTTTTTTTTTAAGAGACAGGGTCTCATTCTTGCTCAGGCTGCTCTCGAACTCCTGAGCTCAGGCAGTCCAGCTGTCTTGGCCTCCCAAATGCTGGGATTATAGGTGTGAAAAATAAACAATTTATATTAATTAAAAATGTTTATTAAGGCTTGGCTCCTATAGCCCAAGTGGCTAAGGTGCCAGCCACATACACCAGAACTGGTGGGTTCAAATCCAGCCTGGGTCTGTCAAACAACAATGACAACTGTAATCAAAAAATAATCAGTAGTCTCAGCTACTTTTTTTGTTTTTAGAGACAGAGTCTCACTTTATTGCCCTTGGTAGGGTGCTGTGGAGTCCTGGCTACTTGGGAGGCTGAGGCAAGAGAATCGCTTGAGCCCAGGAGTTGGAGGTTGCTGTGAGCTGTGATGCCATAGCACTACCCAGGGTGACAGCTTGAGGCTCTGTCTCAAAAAAAAAAAAAGTTTACTAAATAAAAGAAATTTTAATTGCCCCCTTATCACCCTGAAGGTTATCTGCTGCTAACACATGTGTACCCTTTCAGTCTTCTTTCTGTTCATACAGATACAGAAACGTGCCTGCCACATGTCTGTAAATACAGCTAAGTATCCATTTATGCCTTTGCTTTTTTTTTTGCAGTTTTTGGCCAGGGCTGGTTTGAACCTGCCACCTCCAGCATATGGGGCTGGCGCCCTACTCTTTTGAGCCACAGGCGCCACCCACTTATGTCTTTGCTTACTGGGAAGCATTCAACCTTATGGCACAAGGAGCAATTCTCAACCCAGGGGTGGTGAGGAATGGGTTCCCTGCCAGCAGCTATGAGGTATCTCACAAGATAATTTGTTACAAATATTAATGAAGTCCCACAGTTTGTGAGTCATTTCCTTTACAAGTCTAGAGTGAGGGTGTGGTGGCCTATTATGCTTCATATACTACATCCCTATACAAGATGTACAACAGTCCCCCTGTATCATGCGACCCCCCACATTCCAAGACCCCCAGTGGCTGCCTGAAACCTCATACCAGGCGGTACATAATCATACGCGGTATCATCCAGGGGAAATTCCCAAACTGCTAGATGTTCAGAGGTGGGGGAAGAGGCAGCAGGCTGGGGATGGGAACTGCACACAGACCTGGGTGGGCAGGGGGAGCTCATCCTACCTGTGGATGGCACCGTCCTCAATGTCAAGATGTCAGCCTGAAAGCTAAGACCCCAGGGCACTTAGGGACAGACCCAAGTGCTAAGCAGCCCCCAGGACAGAGCAACAGAAGACAGAAGTAAAAGGCAAAACAAAGCCTGGTTGAGGGAAGCACTTGCAGGGTCCGCGAAGACAGGAGAAACTGTGTGCTGTGGGTCAGGTGCCACCCTGGTGACTGCCCAGCGCTGCTCAGAACCTGCCCAATGTGTAAATGAATGAGCAATACAACTTTATCCAGGCTGAGATTTGAGTTTTATATACTTTTGACATGTTACAAAACTTCTTATTTGGTTCTTTCTTTTTTTTTTTAGAGACAGAGTCTCACTCTATTGCTCTCGGTAGTGTCGTGGCATCACAGCTCACAGCAACCTCCAGCTCCTGGGCCCAGGCAATTCTGCCTCAGCCTCCAGAGCAGCTGGGACTACAGGCGCCCACCACAATGCCTGGCTATTTTTTTGTTGCAGTTTGACCAGGGCCAGGTTTGAACCCACCACCCTCGGTACATGGGGCTGGCGCCCTACTCACTGAGCCACATGAGTGGCTTTATTTGGTTCTTTTTGAACTGTCTAAAAATGTTAAGAACATTCTTAGCTTAAGACCCCTACAAACGAAGGTGGTCAGTTGGAGGTAAGCCACTTCCGTCATGAACTGTCAGAGACAGAATGGTCAGAAGTGGCCGAGAGGCAATTCTGGGCATCTCAGAGAACTGACCTTCCCCCGAGCCATCCCTGGAGCCCAATCCAGGGTGAGAAGAGGGACAACATGGAGGCTGTCACAAGTGTTCACAGCAGTAGGGAAAAGGGACTCTTTTTTTTTTTTTTTGAGACAGAGCCTCAAGCTGTACCCCCGGGTAGAGTACCGTGGCATCACAGCTCACAGCAACCTCCAACTCCTGGGCTCAAGCGAGTCTCCTGCCTCAGCCTCCCAAGTAGCTGGGACCACAGGCACCCACCACAACGCCCGGCTATTTTTTGTTTGCCGCTGTCATTGTTGTTTGGCGGGCCCGGGTTGGATTCAAACCCGCCACCTTAGGTGTATGTGGCTGGCGCCTTAGCCACTTGAGCCACAGGCGCCAAGCTGGGAAAAGGGACTCTTGCCTGGGCAGGCAGGCCCACCAGGCGGGGTTGGGCACTGGGGGAAGCCACCAGCTGTGCTCTGAAGCCCCTTTGAGTAGGTACCAGGAGTTGGGGCACACGCGGGCTGGGGTCCAGGTGTCCTCAGAACTTCTGAAAGATTGTTTTCAAAATAATCTGCAGCAGGAAGAGAAGACACCAAAGCCTCAGAATTGGAGCAGCGTTGACAAAGATTTGATTAAGGAAACAGTGGTGTTTCTTAGGTTCCTTCCTTTCTTAGGTTTTATGGGTGTTTCTTCTTTCCTCAGGTTAAAAAACAAAACAAAACAGTAATATGGCTGGGTACGGTGGCTCACACCTGTAATCTCAGCATTCTGGGAGGCTGAGATGGGTAGACTGCTTGAGCTCATGAGTTCAAGACCAGCTGAGCCAGAGCAAGACCCCCAACATCTAAAAAACGTGGCCAGGCATTGTGGAAGGCACCTGTAGTCCCTCCCAGCTACTCAGGAGGTTGAGGCAAGATGATCGCTTGAGCCCAAGAGTTTGAAGTTGCTATGAGCTATGACTCCACAGCACACTACCCAGGGTGACAGAGTGAGTCTGTCTCAAAGGAAAAAAAAGTAATATGTATACATTTATAGTAGAAAATGTAGATTTTTAAAAATGTGGACTTTTTATATCACAGATAAATGTCTTTTTTTTTTTTTTTTTTGAGACAGAGCCTCAAGCTGTCACCCTGGTTAGAGTGCCATGGTATCACAGCTCACAGCAAGCTCTAACT